CGTTTTGACAGGACGGATGTCCTAACAAGGAAACCGCCTCGGGATATCTTCGCGTTTATCTGTGTTCGTACGCGTTTGTATCGCGCCACAGTTTCTACGTGTTACCGGGAAAAATGTACCGCCTCGTGTTCCGCAATTGTACCAGGATGCTGAGAAACAATTTCTCAGGAATAGAATATGGAACCGAAGACAATTAAGTTTCACGCTTGTATTCGAATTCGGTAGAATTGACGTTCGTTTTTAGTTCCTTGGAAACTGATTTTTTATTTTTCGTATTGATGTATAATGTAATGTCGAAATTGGTATAGAAAAATTAATTTATTTGAGCAGATTAAATATATATCAATCTGATTAGAGACCCTTGTAATATTCTACTTACTAAAATTCAACTCTCAAATGGCGGACCATGGAGAGAGCCCCAATTTTAATTTAATTTTGTATTTCGTATTATTCACTTTTTCTAAATTCTACTCTTGTACATTACAAGAGTTTCAAATTCTTGAAATAGAGTTATTAGGAATTTAATTAAGAATAGGAGATTATATTATTAATATATCATAATTATGCCCTAAACCTTGCAGTAATTATTTCAATACACTTTCAGCCTTATTACCCCATAACAAAGAAAAATAATAGGTAGTGATTTCTTAATCTACAGGCATTTCCACGAAGAAAGGTTCTTAATTTCCTTGTTTTCGATTTGATCCTTCGGCCACTTATCCAGCCTGAACACAGAGAAAGCGAGAAAGTGGCCACAAGTGGGAGTATCAAGTATATAGAGAGGAGTATAGCCGAGAAAAGATAACATAAAAATACAATATTGCCCCGCGAATGTAAGTTGGATTGCTTACAAATTGGCCCATACATCTGTAATGCCTCGATCACCGTACCGCGTGGCTCCCTTATTGCGAGAGACTTGGTAATTTCCATCTACGAGTGGAAGGGCAGATACGCGTATGGGAATCACTGCAGGAAACGTCCTGAGCTTATTAGTCCTTCACATTAATTTCCTTTCGTCTACTCTTCAAGAAAGATGAAACGTCCAAGACAGAGAATCGCGACGATTACTCATGGACAGAGCCGATATTAAATCCTCGATCATTTCTTTTCTTGATATCTTGAATTTTTCAGTCTCCGAATTTCAATAAAATTTCTTTCTCAAATGTAGAGTAATATCTGTATCTAATTTAATAAATTAATCTGGGAGTACTTCGTTCTGATACAGTAGATGCTTTATCGAACGCTTACTGTACCCCTCCTGGCGCAATATTGTAACAAACTAAAACGGAACGTGCCAGGATGGAGGTAAATGAATAAATAGTCGACGACACTCGGTCAGGATCTCCTTTCGACCGGTTTGCGGACAGGTTACAAGAGCAGTTCCCTCGATAGACACACACGTGTATATATAGGTGTGCTTACGTAGCAAGGGAGATACACGAAGTGACGAAGAGACACGTGTCAGTCGGTCCTCCTTCGCTCACCTTCAGCACGGGTCTACCTAGGCCGCCACGCCGTAGGGGTAGTTTGTACCCGTCGCAGCTCCCGAGTTTCGGTCCAACATCTGCCCCCGAAAAAACAAAAGCCCATTGTCGTTAACGACCGGTCGCGCGTCTCTTGTTTCTAAGCGACCGCTTTTCAATCGTAGGCGAATATAACGGACCCGAGAGGTCCATTCAGGCCCGGCTCTGTCTCGTTCTTTATCCGTCCACGCTTGATCCTCGTTCTCTTCCCTTCTCGTTTCTTTCGAACTTCGTCTCGCTGAGCTTTTGCGACCATCCTCAGCTCCTAACTGTATTATTATACTGTTTTTATTTACAACCTCTATTCTTTTTCTCTTATTCTGATGCATATAGCGAGGTCCAAACGTTGTTTTTGTGGTTCTACCTTGATTTATTAGAGAAATTTTTATTTTATTACTCTTTATCCTTCGCTCTAAATTCGAAATTCAAATATTCTTAACCCTATGTGCTTAAAGTTCAAATATTTTGAACTCTAAATACTAAAAACTCAAATACTCTAAACTTTAAATACTCCGAAATGAAATGCTATCAACTCCAAGAACTCAAAACTCAAATATTCTGAACTCTAAATTCTCAAAACTTAAATACTCTAAGCTCTAAATAAATTAATAATTTAAAATTCATCATTTCCAAGGGCTTGGTCATTCTAGTATTAAGGAGCACTTTTCAAATACAGTTACTATGAACCTCTGAAGATTCATCAATGGACCCATTCGTTCTGACGTGATTTTTTATGGCTGATGTCGATCTGTCAGCGCAGATTAAAATCTGGCAAATGTTCCGTTTCCTGTTCACCTCAGATAGTGGTCCTTCCGGCGACAGAGAAACTTGAATCGTGAAAAAGTTTTGTTCGAAGGATGGCGACAATGTTGTATGGTACTTCTAGGACGATGCTTATCTTGGCGCAAAGAAATAAAATCGTTTCTGAATGGAAACTACTTGAAACTCTTTTTCTGTTACTTACAATAATTGACGATACAAAAGAATTTACGGACGGGCTTTGAAGGATTGATTTATTTTTTATTCTGAATTCAAATTTGCAATTTATGAACAAATAATTTTCTACCCTTTTAACGTTACTTTTTTCTAATACAAATCATTTCGTATTAGAAAAAGGCTATTTTATGTTATTTACAAAAATTATTCCGTTTTTTGTAAATATAATAAGAAATGAATAGAGACGAATCAGGTGCTATTCTAATAACGACCACAATACACCATGGTACATACGGTCATCAAAATTGGAGCTTGCGCGCTGGCCAGTGGTCAACCAGAGCTCCGCCCCGAAAGAATCGAACGGTGTCCGCGCATCCATGAAAACATGGAAAAAGAAGAACAAGAACAGCCACAGGCTGAGACCGCTACCTCTAACAAAGTTAGGAAACAAAATAGTCGAGGCAAAAGGAAAAGAAAATGATAGACTTCGCAAAGTTACTTCCATTAGACAAATGGAACAAAATGGCAATGATTTAAAGGGTTCCTTTATAATACTATGACTTACGATTATCACTTCTATTATTGCTGTTTTTGTTATCAGGAGGATAATAATAATAATTATCTCCAATAATTAAAAAAAAGGGAAATGGACATTTTGAACAGAATTATACAAAATAATTATTAATAATTCAATCTGAATCATTGATAATCCGAATGAAATTAGCTTTTGTCTAAATTTTTGTAAGTATTCTGGAATTTTATTAGATTTTACTAACATAAATAAATAGTCTTGGACATAAACGATCCAGCCTCCCTATGGTGTGTAATAATATTATAATATAGAAAATAACTGAAGATCTTCCACAAGCTATATTTTCACATACATTTTTCTACTAAATAAAGCACAACCTACGGAGGGAAGAAACATCGAAAACAATAGGCGAAACAATATCCAGACGATTTTCTCGTTTTTACGCTTCACCATCCCCATGTATATGGCTACTCGACTCTTCAAGGGAGGATAAATCGATGTATGAAACTCTTGCCAATCTCTATGTTAATGGAAAGGATAAGCAGAGGGCAAGAGGAGAAGGCGAGGAATTCTGTCAGCAGGTCTGCTAGAGGACACTTAAAAGTGAATTGTTACGTCTGCGGCTGACCCCGGGACCTTAGACCCTCGAACGACGGTGAATTATAAGAGTCGAGTAGAAGGAAATTAGATCTCTATATCAGACGTACGTTTTCCTCGGGCTAACCAAATTTCCACCCCTCCTACTCTGCCTCTGTCCCATCCCTACGGCAAAAGCGAACCACTGAGAGCTCAGAATTCACGATGGCCAACGACGTATTTGCGTGAACGCGATTTAATTATGAAACGCGATTAGCATCGTGCTAGGAGGTAATTGCGATTGGAATTATGTTGGATACATCGCGTTTGCGGAAACGTTTAAGACGCCTTTGAATTATTGGTGCTCCTTTTGGGAGAAAGAAATTTATTATGATAATATTAGACGGATTTGAGATAATTTGATATTGCTGTTTATTTATAAAGCGATTAGTTTGAGATTCTAAGGAAATTCTAATCGTTAGTTTAAAATTTTAATTTTCAATTCGTGTAATAGTAATGTTATTCGATAAATTTTTTTACCAAAACTACAAACAAAAAATTAGAAGTGATAAACAGACAAGAATTTGATTATTAAAATCCTAATTGAAGATTATTTTGAGTATCCTGGCTATAAGTTTTCTTTTTAAAATGAGAATGTCTTTATTGAGGCTAAAATGCGAAAGCACTTTAAAAGCAGTTTTCATGAACAAAAAGGAAAGCTGAGAAGATCCAAGTGGTGACGATAAAATGTGGTAGTATAGTGAAATTTTTTGGGTGGGCTAACAAGACCCAGGTTTGAAAGAACTTGAAGTGTCATTTAGCCTGGAGTATCTACTGCTTTGGAATATTCTTAAGGGGTCTGTTTAGTATCATAGGAACACGTGGGTGGCAAAATGCTAAAACTGGCCATTTAATGAATTACACAACAAAAGAAAAACTTCTTATAAGGCAGATATATTAAATATGTTATATTTCTTTTATAAAGCAAAATGTAAGGAAACGTTTTATGTACCTCTTACTATATTAAAGTGAAATGTGCGAACGTTTTTATTTTTTGTTTTTTAATAAAACGTGTAATTTATTAAAAATTTGAAATATCCAAGAAATTATTAATTTTCTTAATATTGTACAGCAACAAATTTTACGTTGAATGTCCCAAATAGCAATCTATTCCATTTAAATTCCATTTAAAAATGAATTCCATCTTCTTTACAAAAGAAATATTAAAATTGAAACAGAATTAGAACCACCCTATACCATTTAAGATGTAACCCCATCTAGTCGCATGGTTTACCTTAAACATATTTTATAATAATATTTCAAATCTCAAATATAATTATCATAATGTAATTGGGTGTTTCAATATTATTTTTCCCGCCATATTTCCAAGGTGAAATATATAATTTATCGAAAAATCAACTTTCTGGTTGCAGCGGAAACCTCGCAAGGCACCACATCACCAGACACCGTCCAATGCGGGGGTTGCAGGGTGTCCTACCCCCTTGGCGAGATCGTACGGTTCATCGAGCATAAGGTCAACCACTGTCGAAGTACTCTTCAGGGTTGCCACAGTCCACCGGCAACAGCGGCACCGGAAGATTCTGACCCAGAAGACGCGCTCGCTTTGAAGACCGTCGATCAGGACTCGAAGCTGAACTCGGTGCCCAGCATCTCGGCGCCCATCAACAAGAGGGGCGGAGGCAGGTTAGAAAGCCCTCCGACGCCTCAGGGATCGGGACCGGATACCGGAAGCCCGATCGAGCTAAAGGCTAGCGCCAGCTCGACACCCAAGCGACGAACCGAACCTTCCGACGAGGATAAAGAAGATCTTCCGAAGAAGCCAAAGACCGAGTCTGTCGATGCTGACACGAATACTGTCAATTCTGGTGAGTCGATTTTTTATGATTTATTGATTCAGGTGTCCATCTCTTGTCGCGAATTGAATTTAAATGATAATTATAGAATGGAAAAGGTTTTAAATGAATATTGTGATTATTTTATAATCAAATTGAATAATTAGGGATAATTGATATTGGTAATATTTTACAGCTAAATTGGAAAATTAGATAATATTTCATAAATTAATTGAAGCAGTTATTAATATTTGATACTGTGTAATATTTTATACTCAAATTAAACATATATCTAATCATAGCTCATACTAATTAATATAATTAACTCCTTTTTCATTGAATTGAGAAATGATCTTCTCATTAAAATTTGAATGTTCCAATGCACCCAAAAAAATATTCATATCCAAAATTAATTTCACGTAATCAAAATTTTGTTGTTACGATTTTTATTTTCTTCCTTTGAGTATCGTACAATGGAAAATTGTTTGTCGGGAAGTGGCTTAGATTATTTCAAGCTGATACGAAAATCGAGCTGACATTGGTTGGTAATATTGAACGAACGAAAAGCCGATGCACGTGTTACCAAAGAGGCCTCGCGATGTTTTGACATATTCAGCTATGAGTTCTACGTTGGGTCTTCCGAGTCAAGGTAATCTCTATAAATAAAGCACATGTGTTCCGGCAACAAATGCTCACCGCAACTTTCCCGTTCTGTATGGGTTTCTAATCACTATCTTCGAACTTTAAGAAACCATGAAATCCTCTAATTTTATTTATATTTAATTCTACGAAAAACAAATAAACCAAAGAAAGAATCTCCATTTATTTATCAAAAATATTTTTAATTGTAATCGACGGGCCTAATTAACACCCTGCAAATTAGATCTAAATGCTCAAATAATTAAAAAAAATATTATTTTTAACATTATTATTGTAAAATAGAAAGGTCGATATTTGAAAATTAATCATCTTTGCTCTCAATAATTAAATTTAAGTGCCAAATAATAATTTCAAGATTTTTGAAGCAAAATTATACGAAAATTCATTTCTAAACTTCGAGTGAAAATTTGGCCTCAACCGTCGAACATCATCTGCGTTGAAAATTCGGGTTTCGGATTCGAGGGGGTGAGGAAAAAAGAAAGAAAGAAATAGAAAAAAGGGAGTTTTAAAATACAGTTACAGGCTGCCATGTGATGTCGATCGTGGTTCAACGAGCACGAACAATACCGCGGTAGATTCGATTTTTGAATTTAAAGAGTCTGTTCGGGGATTGGGGTGAACCTGCCCCCATAGCTCCCACCCCACGCGACCCCCTTATTTTGATCGTAGGCCACATTGTCGCATGTCGAACGGCCTAACGTACGAGTGTCCTCGTTGCTTCGTTCTGGTGTACAATAAAACATCCATTAATTTTATTTTTATACCTTTCTCTTATAATTTATCATTTCTGAGGGGAGAAATTTTGTTTAAAAATTCTTTTTTATTTCGCTTAGAATATTTAAGTAATTTTACACTCACTTGGTCGACGAATCGACACCAGAATTGTGGTTTGTTCCGATTAACGTCAAAGAAACGGCGACGGCCTCAAACGAAATTCATGCGGCTCGACACCCCTGATGAATTGAAAGCACAGCCTTTGAGATTCTTAACTCAGTGCTTACCTGCGACCGCCTACTTTGCATCGCAGAGAAAAAGAGACAGAGGTGGAGGAGGTGTAACTAAGAAATCATATTCAATGAGAATCACTGGACACTCCTCTGTTTTCTTTCTTACAATCAGCATTGTTCTAACTTTTGTAAATGTTATCCTTGCTGAGACTATACGTTGTTACTTAACACTTCGCATACTGAAAGCCTATTAATACAATCTCTTATAGACTGAAGAGCAATTAATTCAAGCAATAAAAATTTGTTGTACCTACTATAATATATAAAAAAAAATTAAAGATACAAGTTACTCTTTCTAATTCTTAATAATTTTCAAGTTGTTAGAAGGGAATAAAATAGTTTAATAATCATTTAGATCATCTTGATTCACGATGGAAAAATAAAAAATTTTAATTAAAGGCCTAATGAGCCCCCACTAACACCTAATGTCAGAGGTTGGAAAATAAAAAAATAAAAAGGAAAATTGTTTTTTAACAAATTTTACAGCATCATTCACGTATAATGAGAGGTTGGTAGGAAACGTGTTAACATCCCATTTCGAGGTCGCGTTTAGAGACTTTCCATCAGCGAAGGGTTGGTCCGCGTCGAAACCGCATTTCACAGAAACCGGTGATTAATGCAAACGATCATAATTATGTAACAGCTTGTTGATGCCGACGCACCGGTGTCTCTTTAAAATTTCATCACGGTCCGTGAAGCTCGTGGCGGCCCCCTTTCTGGTGGCTGTATCGCGAGAGTTAACCCCATCCGGGACAGAAGCCCGTTTCTCTTGCTCATCCCCCGAACTGGTTCGCGTCAGGCTCGTTCCACGGATAAGCCCCTTTCGTCGCCGTTTTTGTCCTGCTTTTTTGTCATCGACCGGCCACGTCCAAAAGCCCAATTAGAATCGTCCTATTGTCTGGCCACGTGGTACGCACGAGCCTCTCTGCCTACGGACACGCACACGCAGGCACGCGTGAATTCGTTCACCGGTCTGTACACGACACGGTGTATCTGCTCTGATTTCGTCGCGTGTGTCCAGGTAAGGATCGGAGACGATCGACACGCATCGTGTAGCAGAGCAGCCCTCGTGGCGATCTTTATCCGCCTTTTTAGTGGCTTTCCTGTCTGGTCGCGATTTAAATTGCCGTAAGCGTATCTTAGGGAGGAACGTTTAAGTGGACCAAATAGGATCCACTTGAAATTAGGCATGGACAATACTTCGTTATCGAAAATATTTTAATTTTATACCCTTTTCGTAATTTTTGTAATTTGACAAAAAGATTTATTATCAAATATATTTAAATTTCATTTTTAAACCTAGAAATGATTTTTTATTGACACCCTTAACAATGGCAATAGATAATATGGAATCCAGGAATTTTGTAATTTTTCTAATTTAACTGGAAATAGAAATAATTCTTTACTAGCAAGGATAAGAGAAAAATATTCCTCGTGAAACTGACGTCACCATGCACGTCAAAAGAGAAGGGGGTCGAAGAAAAGGAAGCGGAGACAAGAAGCGATAATCCGTCGAAATTGACACCGGTGTTCCCGGTGGGATGCAGATTTGATCTATCTGTCACGTTTGTCTGGAATATTAATTCTCGTTCGTGGCCGAGCTTTTTCCTCGCCTTTTCTCTATGCTTCCACCGCGACCCTTCCGAACGTTTCTTCTCTCTTTCTTTCTTTATCTTGCACCCTCGACCGGTCTCGTCCTACTGGACCGCCCGAGGCGCAGCGAGAATTGCTTGCGAATTGGTTGTATCTCAGGGTTTCGAGGTCCTGCAGCCCTTCCGTTCTCTTCTTCCCTGTTTCCTTTCCCTCTTCTTGGTCCGCGGAAGGAAGTCAACGAGCACCACATAAAAGTGATACACTGGAGAGACAGACGGTGCCAATACAGGAAGAAGAGTTGGAAGGATTTTTCACCAACGCCATCGCGTTGTTTCCCTTTGACATTTTTCACGAATTTATCGTTCCATGCGATGAGTTTATTTTAGGTTGTTTATTCAATCATAATTTTCTTTGAAATTAGAGAAATTTTATCCTTGTGTTTTTATTCAAAGTTTCTAAGTAATCTGAAATTTCTTATTAAATTTTTGTAAGGGAATAATAATTTTGTAAAGAAACTTTCTAACTTTTTCTATAGTTTGAAATTAAAGTATCATTATTTAAAGTTGAAGTAGAATTATTTTTTAATAAACATCTTCATTCTCTTTGAAAACAATTGTTGAACATTAATGTTTTATAAAATTTAAAGCGACATAGCTGATGGCCACTATGTGGCAAAGTAGAAGTCCATTTTTCACCGTTTACACACTTCCTTACTTTTTCATTTTACTTTTCTTTCTTTCTTCTCTTTGCAAGCCAAATATTTTCAAAACTTCCTCTTTTCTCTTCATTTGTCTTCTTCTTCGTTCAAGAAGTTCGAAGAAAAGACAATTAAAGTGTCACTCACAAAGGTTAGAAGTAAACGACGTTTCAATATACCAATGCGAGAAACGTTTGCTAACTGCCAAGATAAACGAGCTTCTTCTTTGTTATTTGGTTCTGAACGAAGCTGGTTCTTGAACCGAACTGTTCAAGTCGAGCAAGCAATGTGTAATGACACACGAAACAGATTAGCGTTAAATTAGCAATATTTTTATCAAATGCAACGCTTTACTGCTACAAAGAAATGAACATTGCGAATATCTGGAGTTTCCTTTTCTTCGTTTATTCGAGAGACCAGAATTAATGGACAGCGGGGTCCATCCTTGACGTTTGCGGTTGGACCAAGGAACAGGAGACATAAAAATTCTTAGAGGATGCTCTGACCAGTCGTACTGCAATTTTGTAGTGACCACAAAACAGTTAAATATACATTAATTCTTTAAAATACGATGGAATTTTTGCATATATTGTAGTAAATTTAACTCCTGCTTGTTATTGAGTGGTTTGTTGTCAAATCTAATCAAAAGTTCTATTACATTTTATAAAACAGAAAATTATGAAAAAAAATTCAAGAAAATTGAAGTCATGATACTTTCAACTTTTCATGAGTAAAGGGTCGTTTATGCCCGAGGCAAATTTCAACTTTTTCGAATATTTATTTTTCTAGTAAAATTATAAGAAGGGATAACTATGAAAATGTAAAACACAATTCATACACGTTTCGCCTTTCTACATAATGATTCTACTATAATCTAATCTAATAAGCTAATCCATTTTTCTAATTTTAAGCTCCAAATTACAATAAAGGAGTGGGAAATAATGAATAAAAATGAGATTATTGTCCGAATTCTGGTATAATGGTTCCAAATCGGCGTTTCTTTCGAATAGTGTATAATCTGGCCGACGATCCTGATTAAAATCGCCCACAATCTATCTACCTGGGTAGGATCCCGT